TGACTCATGGTTCCAACTGGACATCTCAGCAGAAACAAGAATAGAGATGAGGTTATCCAGGAAATATCTGTGGAGGACTGTCTTGTCTGAGGGCTGAAACCCCAAGAACCGCACAGGCTGACAAGGGTTCTGAGAACGTTATACCAGGAAAACTACTGGCAACCTAAGATCATCCAACAGAGATGGAAAGCCCCACTTCCAAAGCCCCACATATAGGATATGGGCTGATAGAGGTTCTCAATTACAGACATGCTTTATCCTCCAACTTTTAAATTTTTGTTGAAAGGTAGATGTGATGTAACAGGTAAAAGGAATTGAGTTAAATAGACTTTTAGTGTGAGATTTATATTTATCTGGCTAGGAATCAGTCTGTGCTTATTGTTTGCTGTAGCTGTTGGTGTCAGAGGCTAAAATTTCCTCCAGTGTTTTTATTTTCTTAATTTAAATTCAATTTGCCAACATATTTCATAACACCCAGTGTTTATCACATCTCGTGCCCTCCCTAATGCCTGTCACCCAGTTACCCTATCCCCCCACCCCCATCTCCCATTCAGCAACCCTCCATTTGTTTTTCCAGAGTCAAGAGCCTCTCATGGTTTGTCTTCCTCTCTGATTTTTCCCCATTCAATTTCCCCTCCTTCCCTTATGGTCCCTTTCACTATTTCTTATATTCCACATATGAGTGAAACCATGTGATGATTGTCTTTCTCCAATCACCTTATTTTACCTAGCATAATACCCTTACTTTAGTCTCCTCTGTTGTGTTTGGGTTTCCCATCAGATTTCTTCTTACATAGGTTCTGACCCTTACAGTTCTTTCAGTTGTATTATATATTATATATATCATAACAAGAACCTTAGTGATGTGGTGATAACACATAGGGGGACGGAAGTATAATCTATAGTTTTTTACTGAGCTTCTGCCCTCAGGCTGTAACCTTCATAAGTGCTTCTTAGCTTTTTATTCTCCCTTATGTGACATAGAAGGCTAGAGGGGGTTAGGATCATTTCTCTTTCTCTAGGTTGGGTGGGCTCTACTAAAATAGTTTCCCTGAGGATAGGCCTTTGGTTTTTGTTTTTTTGTTTGTTTGTTTTGGGATAGGCCTTTGTTGAGGAGAACTGGGTGCTCTGGCATATTTCTTTTTTTTTTTTTTAATTTTTATTTATTTATTTATGATAGTCACAGAGAGAAAGAGAGAGAGGCAGAGACACAGGCAGAGGGAGAAGCAGGCTCCATGCACCGGGAGCCCGATGTGGAATTCGATCCCGGGTCTCCAGGATCGCGCCCTGGGCCAAAGGCAGGCGCCAAACCGCTGCGCCACCCAGGGATCCCCCTCTGGCATAGGGATCCCCCTCTGGCATATTTCAAAGTGGTTACTTTCCCCTCTCTTGCCAGAAGCACCAGGGGATTCTGCTTATCTGGACCCTAACAACTTGGTAGGGTTTCTGTAGGTAAAGCCCACAAGAATATGAGGGCATTAAGGAGGGCACATGATGTGATAAGCACTGGGTGTTATACACAACCAATAAATTGTGGAAAATTACATCTGAAAATAATGATATATTATATGTTGGCTGATCGAATTTAAATTAAAAAAAGAATGTGAGGGTTGTCAATGCAATATGAGTACAACTTAGAAACTCTAAAAGAAATTAAGTTTTATTCAAGTCCATTAGGACAGCTGCCTGGGAAACATACTCTTCACAGAGAAGATAATGCTCCAGACAATGAACACTTTGTATAGGATTATAGTTTTACATCTCGTAAAAGGTCAAGAGATTACAGATTAACATATAGGCAGGAATCACAAGTTTTAATGTTAAGAAATGCAAGGAGCAGGTGTAGTCATCAACACCTTAAGGACAGGATGGTTTACCTTTAGGCTATTCATTTACAAAGCAGATGCATGACGTATGCTTAGAGGGCTATAAATCAGGCTTTTGGTTTAAACAAAGTTTATATAGTCATGCTGACCTAGAAAGAAATTTAAAATGGCTTCTCCTTTGGAAAAATTAAACAAAGATGTTACTGTAGATAGAAATCTCTTCTTTTGCCTTTGATCGATGTCATACTCGAGGCCTTTATTCTTTCACAAAATCTGTACTTGCTCTGGTTGGGGCCTCTTCATTTCCTTCATTTATAAATAAGAATGTCCCAGCTCCTCTGGTGAATCTGCCTTTTTCTCTCTGTCCTGGCTGAGGAGCTGAGTGCAGAAGTGAGGTTGTGCTGACCACCCTGAAGCTCAGGTAGAAAACCTTTGCCTTTGTCATCTCTGAAGAATTTCTTCCAGTTTTCCTGAGGGTTCTGAGTCTGATGGCCATTGATCTATGCCTAGATTCCAAACAGAGTTGGAAACTTTTCTGCCAAAATCTTATGTTTCTTTTTTTCAGTTTTTATTTGCGGAGAACTGGCATTTACCTGATTGGCTATTTCTAGTCTGCTTGCAGATGTGTGAGTTGGGTCTGAACTTGCCCAGGGCATGTCATGGGCTCCATGCTGAGGAGGGCAACAGCCACCATCCCTTTCCCACACTGAAAAACTTGAAAATTATATCAATAATTGTCTACATCAGAGCCCAGTTATATTTGCTTCATGCCCACCAAAACTGTGGAGAACTAAAAGTGCATTGCACAAAATCTTTATAGCATTCTTGTATTTCACCTATTTCATATTCATGTGACTAGATTAGTATTTTCTAGAAAATGATTCTGTTAATAATTTAGTGAGCTGCTGTTAAAACTGCTCTGGTAATAAATTGATGCCGCTTGGCTATTTTTGTCTGAATTAAGCCACCATGATGGTTAACTGTCTAGGACTCTTGTTCTGCAAAACAACAATAAATATTTAATGTGTCAAAATAAAATAAAAATAAAAACAGAATAAGCCTCCCTTATATAACAGGCCTTTAGAGAGTTTTTCTCTCATCAGGGTCAATTAGCCCTCAAGTTTTCCTACCAGTTACTGGCTCCAGCAGCAGCTTCTGAGCCTTATACTATGACTTTGTGCTCATTCTTCTTCCCAATTTTCAAGGCAGCTATTTGCCCTGTGACTTCAATTTTCTCGTGGATCTAAGAAGAGTTGTTAAATTTTAGTTTACTCAGCTTTTTTTGTCTTGTGAGGACCAAAGTGATGACTTCCGAGCTCCCCTGTATCCTATTTTAACCTATATACTTTGATATGATTTCAGAAATAAATTCTTCCCCCTGCAAATGTATGAATGAATAAATGAGTGAGTGTAGTGATCCACTTCTGAATGGAGGACCGCAGCCCTGGGTTGAGTAAATGAACCTGACAAAGCGGGTGGAACACCGCCGAAGGCACTTAGTGACTCCGGTTTGTAGGTTTGTCCCTCTTTTTGACTGAAAGTGTGCAAGTGTTGAGGGGGACTCTTTAAAAGTCCAGTTAACAGGGGCAAGTCAGGTTGCTTAGGAACCCCAACCACTGGACTAGAAGGCAAACAAACAAAGCAGCCGCAAGAGCAGAGAGAATTAAATTGCCAGAGACTTCTTCCAGCTGGCCTCTCCAGTGCCTTCGTGCACTTACCTCCGCCCTCCAGAGACAGCTGCCCTTGCTGCAGCTCAGCTGTGCACCGCTCCGGCGGGAGCTGCAAGTGACGTGACTCCGGCTGACCTTCCTTCCTCCCCAGCAGGCTCCCCCAAGGGGTGTGTGGAAGCTGCCGGGCAGTGGTCACCCTCCGCTGAGACTGACAATAAATCTTGAATATCTTAAATATTATTCAATATTTAAATATAACGGTATCTTCTATAATGAGTTACTAATAGAGAAACCAGTTAATGATGTGATGGAAAATCAAAACTTTGTTCAAAACACAGGGTGATCGGTCCTAGAGTTTTCCGGGCCCTGATTTCTCTAAGGTCACATAGAGAGAAACGTCCAATTCGACCTGAAGCACTCCAGTGGCGAAAATACATAATTCTGCCTAAGTAGAAAACAAAAAGCTACTCCCATTCCCATACCGGGAGTCGAACCCGGGCCGCCTGGGTGAAAACCAGGAATCCTAACCGCTAGACCATATGGGAGGCGCTGCGTGCCGGGCTTTCACTTTGCACATATCACTTACCTCAGCGTGCCACCTGCGGCTCCACAGAGCAACGGCGGCCGCCGGGGACCGCGGGGCTCGCTCCGCCCCGGAACGTCTGACTGCGGCTGCGCGAGCCCTCCGCGAGGCCTCGCTCCCTGCCGGGGCCTGGTCCGGCACATCCGGGTCTCCGTTGGGGGCGGGAACTCCTGCGCCCGGAAATGCCCCCCATAGGACGGTCGCGGGGAGCTGCTTGCGGGGTGTTGGCGGAAACTGCCGGCTCGCGTACCCGAGGGCCAACTTCAAACAGCGAAAGGAGGGCTATTGCTTGAGCACCCACGCCAACGGACGTCTGAAATAAAGGATCCCGCCCGGAACCGGAGTTCCACGTGGATGTCTTTCCCGTGAAAAACAAAACCGAATTGTTTTCTTTTACTTATTTTGGCTTCAAAATCTCACTGGTTGACACCTGGTTGGTAGCAGGATTGTGTTCTCGAATTCAACCTCTGTGGGGGGGGATATTTTTTTCTCCAGTTTCCTTTGAAAAGTGCTTCCGTCAGGTTTTTCACTGACAGCTCCAGCTCAAGGCTCCCCCCATCGGGTCACAAATCTGACCGACTGCGAAGCGAGTGCAGAAGCTCCGCATTAACGGACAGTGAAAGGAGGGGCAGGGGCGGTCCTGGGATCACCTGGGTCTCCAACAAGCGGTGAGTCTGCAGCCGGGCGGCACATTGGACTCAGATGCAGGATTTACCCCAGACCCTAAATGAAACCATAGAAGTTCTTTGGGAAATACTGGAGAATTCCTTTATCACATCATTTACCACCCTAAATCCAGAAATCATAAAACGGCTGATTGATAAATTCAACTCCTAAGTCAATTAAGAAAATTAACTTTAAAAAAAGTTGAGTGATAGTTACTATAGCTTTCACCTTATTCATTAAGCTATTCAGTTATTTTGAGTAATGTAACGTGCTTTATTTTACAATGAAGATTTCAAAAACAAAACACCAGAAGCAAAGTTACAAGAGAAACTGGGAAAAATATTTACACTTCATATTATGAACAAAGAGGTAATTGTCCCCAAACATAAAGATTACCTTCTACAAACTGCTAAAAATACGAACAACCCAGTAAGAAAATGAAGACACAGTTCCCGTCACAGGAAATACATCTAGCCCTTCAAAACTTAAAAGCAGTTTGGTCTTGCTCCTATAAAGATAATGAAAGAGTACTTAGAGTTCCCTTGAAAATCTAAGACCTTTTTCATTTTCTGGCCTAAAACCTGTCAAGGACTACCTTATCTACTCAGGTGTTCATGTTTTTTATTGACATGGAATCATACCGTCTTGATGTATTAGCCATATTTGTTTTTTCCTACATCAAAATCAGTTTTGAGAATCTAGTGAAACTGAAGCATCTATTTCTTGTCCTTCCCTACCACTAATTATGCAGTATTTCATTCTGTAAAGAAACCACAGCTGATACATCCATGAGGCTGTTCTGGTTGTTTATAAACTAACCTAACAGCTTTGCCCCTGCCCCACATGAATGTGTCCTAGGAGAATACAAACTTAGAAGTGGTTTCACGGTAGTGACTTTCAAGAGTATTCAGTTGGCCTCTTCAAAGTTTCATACCTAACAAAGCTAGAAACATGCAAACCAGAGAAATTTTAAGGAGTAGGAACTTGTTGAGGTGGGAATAGGAGCAGGGGCAATCTGTGAAGCAAGGAGTCCTGAGATAAGGCAGCCACACCAAAGAACAGCTGTGCTCACGACCCTGCCTCTGGTCACAAGTCAGGCAGATTCTGGCTCCAGATGCTTGAGTTTCTCCCGGAGTCCCCGGAGCTGGCTTCGACCCCAGTCAATGCGGATCTGAAGGCTGGCCATGTCTGCAGCCAGCTGCAGGCCTAGAAGAAGAGATAAGACTGTCACCATGGTATTTTCAATGTGACACATGACTCAGGGGGCTCTGAACATTCCCAGGGACTGGAAAGCCTCCAGAACTCTCTGGCCTCCACAGTATTCCTAAAATATTCCAGGAAGAGCCCTGCATTGGCTACTTCAGAATCTCACTAGACCCCACACCCTCACCTCCTTCAGATCTTTACAAAAATGTCACCTCTGCAATAGACTTCCTTTACTCCCTTATATTACCCACCAGGAACTAACACTGATCATATTACTCACAGATCATAACACTGCTGCATGCCCTCATTTCCTTCCTTCATTTTAATAGTCCTTCATTTTTCCTGCCTTCTTTCTACATGTTTTCTCTGCCCTCAAGAGTGCTCCACATTCTGGATCCCCATCTAGGTGGCTTTTGCCTGATGCTTCTTTTTTTTTTTTTTTTTTTTTTTAAGAAAGATTTATTTATTTATTTGAGACAGACGGAGAAGCAGGCTCCATGCAGGAAGCCCCATGCGGGACTCGATCCTAGGTCTGCGGGACCACGCCCTGGACTGAAGGCGGCACCAAACCGCTGAGCCACGGGGTCTACCCTGATGCTTCTGCTATTAAGTCATTTGGGCCCTCCATGCCCAATCCACTTGCCCGTCCAGTCTTCAGCCTACCTGCCTGCCAGGAGGGCTGGCCACACATCTGCTCACCTCCTTCACTTTTTCCTCTTGGATCTCTCACCCTTTGAGTGTTGCTCCTGTCTCACTACTACTTCTCAGTTTCCTCCAGTGGTTTCTCCCCTTCTTCCTCCTACCTTCTGTCCACACTCTGAGGCCCTCTGCTGATCTCTGCTTTAATGCTGTATCTGTGCCAGCAACTTGGAAATTTACACACCAATGTTATGCAGTGGGCTCCCCAAATCTCTCTTTCCAGCCCAGGTCTCTTCCAAACTTGGATGCATGTGCCCTGACACCACACAGCCTAGGAGCATACTCTTGCCCAACTCCTGACTTACCCTTGGCTGTAGCTGTGCAGCCCTCTCACACCAGGTGAGAGCAGCTTCACTCTCCCAGGTGTTCCTGCTGGAATCTGTGGGCTTATCCTTCACTCTTCTCCTTCCCTTACTCTCAAAATGATCTGTCAGCTTGTACTCTCAAAACATGCAGGTTCTTATCAGTGACCCTCTCCTTCACTGCCTCTACCTGCATTGCAAGCTTGGCTGGTCTCTGGCACCTGCTTCGTCCCTCTGTTCTTGCCAGTCTTCTATCACTCTGTGGGTCCAACTGTGCCTCCCTCTCTTCAAAGCAATCCATGACTCCCCAAAGTCTTCATCAGGACCTACACCTAAAATCACCTGGGCCCAGCCCCTCTGATCTCACTCCTTCCATTCCCTGATGCATAAGTGGCACTCCAGCCCACTTGGCCTCCTCTCTGCCATCCTGAACATGATTTCATCTCAAAGCTTTTGCCCTGGCTGGTCCCTCTGCCTATAGCACAGATCCCCCAGATCACCTCCATCTCTTCAGAGAGGCCTTTCCAGACTACCCTCCATAAAATAGTTACCCTCCCCACTCTTGTCTCACTCCATCCACCATACCCTATCTTATTTTTTTTATAAAGAGCCTATTTAGTTATTTGCATGTTCTCGCTCTCCCTTCAATCTCTGAGGGCTGTTTATTGTTTCCTGCTGTATCCCCAGCACCTAGCATGAGCCTGGAACACTGCCAACAGCCAGTAAATGCTTTTTTGAAAAACAAAACAAAACAAAACAAAACAAAAAAACAGCAGCTGTGCAAAAAAAGCTTGCTAAGGAGAAAACCTAGAAAACCCTTTGCAGATTAACCCCAGCCAGGCATGGCATCAGTGCTCAAGTGCTTCCTGTAGATAGAGCATCCACTCACCCTCTCGGAAGCTGGCCTGGGCATGCCGCAGACTGTGAGGAACCAGGATTCCAAACCAATTCAGAGGGTCCCGGGGGGCTGGGGAGGACTCCGGCTCTGGGGTTTTGGTGAGACCCTTGCGCCTGCGCAAAGCTGGAGAAAGACAGACTGGAGGTTGGGGTACATTACTTGTACCTTGTCTCCTTTGTGACAATGTTGAACTTGATTTGAGCTCATGATCCTGACAAACACCGATGGCTGGAAAAATGCCTCCAACCATTTATGTTCCAGAGAACATCTTACCACAAAGAACAACCCTTCCCTTTGTGATTCAGATGAGGCCCTGACCACTCTTTCCCATGACTCTCAAGATCAGCAGATGACCCCTTGTTTAGCTGTGACAGTGCCAACACACCGACTTTCCCCATTTTGCCTGAACATGCTGAAAGGTTGGAAAGATGCTCCAACTCCCCATTCATCTCATAAGTGATTGAAATTATAAGTTTCTCCTCTGAAACCAGTTAGACATGTAAACATTTTCTGTTCAACTGAATGAAACTTCCTCTGATTGCAAAACTATCCCAACTGTAACGGACCTCAGCTATAACTTGTCTGTTTCTCCCTACAGAAGAAAACAGCCTGCCGAGACACTGTGATCCTCCAATCCAGGCCGCCCTCTCTATCGCAACACCCTTAATAAACTCACCTCCTCTATTATCCTGTACATTTTGTATTTCACACTGGGAGAGCGCCCTGACGGGAAGAAAGAGGGACTCACCTGCCTCACGGGGTCCCAGCTCCTCTGGAGTCTGGGCGCTGGCTCTCATCACCCAGAACTTCTGGAGTCCGTCCTGGGCCTCGCTGAAGAACAAGAAGGCAGTATGGATATTTGGAGGCCCCAGCCTGGACCCTGCCCACCCACCGGCTCCAGCAAGCATGGCTCCTCACCTGGTGTAGACGCAGACCTGTGGCTCCATGTGGGAGGCATACTGCAGAGGACCTACAGACTTGGCGCCCATGGCATAGCGAGCTTTGGAGAGCGAGAGCCAGCCCTGGGGTCGGAGAGGGTGGTCAGACTCGGTTTACCCCCGCACGCACGCCCACCCCTCTCCAAGGTCCCACCTCCTCCACCCGGGCGTTCAGCGCCGCCCGCTTCGCCTCCAGTTCCTCCAGGTCCCGGAGCAGTTGCAGAAGCAGCGAGTCCAGCTCCGAGCGGAGGTCCGGCGCAGCCATGGGCCCAGCGGACAGAGGCCTGGAACCGGCGTCCTCACAGGTCGCCCAATCGCCGCTCGTCCCACGGCCCGGCCACCAATAGACCCACCTGCAGGGGCGTGCCCAGCCGGGGGGGGGGGGGGGCGGGGGCGAGCTAGCCACCGTGTAGAGGCCCCCAGGTCCCCGCCTTTAAAGGCAAGCGCTCTCAGAACAGCCCTACAGAATGGACTAGTCGCTCCGGAGCGGGACAGCCAGGCAAACAGTCGGCTAGAGCTGCGGGTGGTTCCGAGGTGCTTCTGGAAGAGGCCGCACGACAATACGGCTAGAGCTGTGGTGATGGAAGACGCACAGCCGTCAGGCCGCCACCAAGTCACTTTTGATCTTAAGGGAGAAGAGGCTTTAATTCCAGGGCCGGTAGGCGGACCTCCAGACCACCGCTGTGCCGCTTTTCCAGTTGCTGGATCATTCCGAACAACCAATTATGGTTACTTTAGCGGTTCATGATCTTAACATTGAGCATCGCGCACAACAGTGACAAGTCAGGAGACTCGCAGCGACGTGTGACTCATTGCTCCCCTAGGCGACGTGATAACGTCTTGAAGCCCTTATTGGCGGTTGCAGGGAGCTTGCGCTTCCGGACTGGCCAATCGCCTTGCGACTACCAACCCACGCTCCGCCATCTTAACGTCGGGCACTGCTACGGGAGCCGAGCGCGGTGAAGCGTCGGGCGACCTTGTTGGTTGAGGGCAGTCGTGAGGGTGGCGTGGCTCCTGCGGCCGCGGCAGAGTCTCCCGGACCCACGTGGAAGCCGCGCTCGGGATGGTAGGGGGGATGCTGGAGGCTGGGGGTGGTTCCTGGGCCGGGGGCGCGTGGGCGTGCGGCGAGGACAAGGCTGAGCGGCCCCGCTGTCCCGCAGCTGCGCCGCGAGGCCCGCCTGCGCCGCGAGTACCTGTACCGCAGGGCCCAGGAGGAGTCGCAGCGAGCGGCCCAGGAGCGGAAGGACAAGGTTCGGCGCGCGCTGCAAGGTACGCGGCCCGGTGGCTTCACCTGCGCGGGCGGCCGGCCGGCCTCGGCACCTGCCGGAGCCCCGCGGAGTGACTGGCCGGGCGGGCGGGACGCGGGTGCCGGCGTTTCTCTTCGCGTGAGTGTGGCTGCGCGGCGCTTCGGGTACTTCTGGCCGTTTCCTTGCCTGTTGGGTCCTCCTGTTGGTTTGCAAACGTTCCTTCCGAGATGCAGTAAATCACGCATCATCTGTGCTGCAGTATCCAGACTTTACAGTTTTCCCATTTTGTTTACACTGTGTGTTTGGTTCATCCCAAATTTTAAGTCTTTACGTCATCCTATAGATACTCACCCCCGTTCCCTCTTGCGCTGTTTTTCTTTTTGCCACCTTCTTGGGTACAAGAAGTACAGTATCTTACCGTCTTTTGGCGTTATTATGATTCCATTGCATTTTAAAAGTGTTAAACCGTAGGGAACTTAGTTTTATTCGAGTTGTGAATTAGGATCTACCTTTGCAATATTTTCTCCATTTTCTTGTTATACTGATGAAGAGGGTTGCGCAGGCCTGAATGGAAATGTTGTATTTATCCTTGTCTCTTGCCTCTTGTGTGGGCGGAGCTTGTCTCCTATCTGGATGGTACATCAGCTTAATACCTTTGATTATTTTAAATTCACTTTGATTTTCTGTGTTTTAGGCATACAAAGTACATGTGGTATATATGTTTGTATGTTTAGATGAAGCGTAGTTAGATACCTGTGACCTATCTGCCCACATTAGAAATAAAAAATGCTTAATATGTTGAAATTCAGGAGTATTTTCCCCAACTCAGAATAGCCACAGTATTGAATACTGTGAATATTTCATTGAATGAAATAAACCATTTCATTGCTTTTCTTTGTGCTTATGTCGTACTTGTTTGTATTCCTAAATGAAATGGGTCGGTTTTTAGTTTTAAACTTACTTATTAAGTTGTATGTATTCTTTCCCAGCTTTAGGTTTTCATTTAGCATTGCTTTTAAGACCCGATGAGTATGGTGGGGGCTCCCATTTCCCTGTGCTTGGTGCTGACCTTATTTTTAGTTTGGGGTAGTTAGAAACAGCATTGCTGCTATGAACCTTCTCTTCCATGTGCAAGAATTTCTCCGGGGCGTATTGGAAAGAAAAGCTGGGTCCAAGGGCATGTTCATATTCAGCTCTGTGCTCCAAAGTAGGCATACCCACAGCCAGCCCTTCTTTTACCAAGTCCAGCTGTAGTTCACAGAGGAAACCTCACCCAGAGCATTAAGATGAGCAGTTTTGCTGTCAGAAGGTTTCAGGGTTTCTGGTCCACCCTCATACAGAAAGAGCCCTCTGTGTGTATTCTTTTAAAAATTAGCTTGTTAATTTTTTTCTAATTACAAAAACAATTATATACTTGCAATTAAATATTTTAGAAAGTCCTCAAACCATGAGACTCAGGAACCATAGAAAATGAGGTCTCCTGTAACCATTGTTGACAGGTTGGCATATAGACAAAAATAGTTTTGCTTTTCTCTTTCCCCTGCCAAAAATATGTATCACTTTTCTGCACAGAGAGGAGTGAAAAGGGTACTTTTTAATTAAGTCTGTAAGTTTTTGTAAGCCACAGTGTTGTATAAACTGAGGGCTTGGTGGGTGCATGTGTCTAACTCAGCCCTTCTATGTTCCCCTTGCAGAGAACCGCCTGATTCCCACCGAGTTACGCAGGGAGGCTCTGGCCTTACAGGGTTCCCTGGAGTTTGATGATGCCGGCGGGGAAGGTAAATGTTCCTGCCAGCTTCTCCCCACTGCACTTGAGCCTGCTGGCTTCCATGGCATTCCTCAGACCCCTTGAAGGAAAGGCTGTGCAACTCATCGTGAAAGTTTCTCCCTGGTGCCCTCATGGCTCTCCACAGATGGCACCTCAGGAAAGTTCTTACTCAGTGTTCCCAGTTTCATTTCTATAACACATACACTATTATCCTACTTACTCTGTTTGGTCTGTTAATTGTTCCCCTACTAGAATGTGAACTCTACCAAGGCGACACAGGGTCCATTTTGTTCACTGCCATGTCCTCAGCTCCCAGCACTTCATTAACACCCAAATGTTTCATTGCATTATTCAACAAATATTATAGGTATCACAGACATTATACTCTTTTGTTATGAGGGAAAGTAGTTAACAAACTCCTTTGGCCTTAACAGAATCTGGACTTGCACTTCAATGGTAGCCATTAACCCTGTGTGATAAATATAGTTAAAATGAACTAAAATCAAATTTAAAAATTCAGTTCCTCAGTCATACTTGTATTTGTAACCAGTGGGGCCGGGGAGTCACCCTCTTGCCCAGTGCAGGTGAGGAGCATTTTCATCATCAAAGGTATTGTCAGACAGTGCTGCTCTAGACAGAGTCAGCCACCTTCAAGTTAGCATTTTACTTCTCAAGACAATGTCACGTTCCTGCCCCTCATGCTCTGACAGGTGTGACCGACCACACGGATGATGAATATCGATGGGCGGGAGTTGAGGATCCTAAGATCATGATCACTACCTCCCGAGACCCCAGTTCCCGCCTCAAGATGTTTGCAAAGGTACCAGTAGGGAGTGAGTGGGAGTTGCTAAGGCACCAGTGGCCCCAGTCCTAATTGGAGTACGTTCATATACAGGAGTTGAAGTTGGTGTTCCCAGGTGCCCAACGCATGAACCGTGGCCGGCATGAGGTAGGGGCACTGGTGCGAGCCTGCAAAGCCAATGGTGTCACTGACCTACTGGTTGTCCATGAACATCGAGGCACACCTGGTAAGACTGTGGATGGGAAGAGGGTCTGCTGGGGTGGTTGTCTGAGAGCAGATGAGGTTTCTGATGACCCAATCTGGCCCCACCAGTGGGTTTCATTGTCAGCCACCTGCCCTTCGGCCCCACTGCTTACTTCACCCTGTGCAATGTGGTCATGCGGCATGACATCCCTGACCTGGGCACCATGTCAGAGGCCAAGCCTCACCTCATCATGCATGGCTTCTCCTCTCGCCTAGGCAAGCGGGTGAGTCTGGGTTCATGGGATGAGGCCTGGAGGCAGGGAGATCCTGGCTGGGCATTTGCCACTCTCCTTCTCTCTGACCCAGGTCTCTGACATACTCCGTTACCTGTTTCCTGTGCCCAAAGATGACAGCCACCGGGTCATAACTTTTGCGAACCAAGATGACTATATCTCCTTCCGGTAGGTGCATGGGCTAGTTACAGAATGGTGTCCTGACTGCTGTTTATTACTGACCGACATCCACTCTCTGCCCCCACCTCACCCCTGCCCTGCCTCCCATTGCCCTAGGCACCACGTGTATAAGAAGACCAACCATCGCAGTGTGGAGCTGACTGAGGTTGGACCTCGCTTTGAACTAAAGTGTGAGTTTGGGGCTTTATTCCACTTCTGGTGGTGGTAGGGTGCTGGCAGTTTAGGTAACAATGTTTCCATCTCCACCCCCTGCAGTGTATATGATCCGCCTGGGCACGCTGGAACAGGAGGCCACAGCAGATGTGGAGTGGCGCTGGCATCCGTACACCAACACTGCACGCAAGAGAGTCTTTCTGAGTGCTGAGTGAACCCACCCCCCAGGAGGTGGGGAGGGGTCGGAATAAAGTCCATGTGCCACACCACCCTGTTTGCCTCTGTGTGGTCAGGACAAGCCCACTGTCATGCTGAGTGTGAGGGACAGTTTCCATGGGTCTTCTTAGGTGGGGAGTTGACAGCTCAGGAACATTCTCAGGTCTGCCATTGATATTGTGTCTAGGACAGGCAGGCCAAACCTGCTGGCTGGCCCCTTAGCCTTAGGGAAGGTTTGAGAGATTTGGTGTTGCTGTCACTCAGTGGTCAGGGGCTGTGAGAGTTCATGTCAGACTGGGAAGATTGGGCTCTGGTATATACCCAAGGACCCTGGTTTTACCCAGAACATGTGCCAGGACGCTATAGGATGCCTGCAAGTTGATGTGGAGGGGAGTGATGACATTAAGAAAGAAACCCATCACACCACATGGGGCAGGCCTATGAAGACACAATTCAGGCAAGGTGATGAAGGTGGGGGGGCCCCTGCAGATGTCTGAGAGCTACGGGATGGCATGAAGCATCAGGGCCCCCCTGGATAGCCTGTGTAATGACCCTGAAGTGGACGTGTTCATAAGAGTTCCAGGAGCAAGAGTGGCCCAGTGAAAGGGAAGTCTTGGGGGAGAACAGGCAATGGAACCTCATGGGATGTCTGTGACTTCTGGCCCCACACATGTGAATCCAGGGCCTTCCAGGACCTCTTCCACCTTGCCATAACCTCAGTTCACAAATGAAGGCTATACCACTAAAATTTTTGTGTAAGTTATGAAAATACAAAAGTACATACAGAGTAGAGTAGTATGATGTTTTATGTTAGTTTTCTGGTACTGCCATAACAAATTGCCACCAACTGGGTGTCTTAAAAACAGATTTATTCTCACAATTCTGGAGGCCAGAAGTCAGATCAAGGTGTTAGCTCCATTTCCAACCCCTCCTCCATTACTTGCCTCTTCCAGCTTCTGGTGGTTACTGGCAGTCCTTAGTATTTTTTGGCATGTAGTTGCATAGTTGTGGTTTCTGCCGTTGTCTTCACATGATCATCTTCTACTGTCAAGTTTCCTTGGTGTGTCTCTTATAAGGACACTTGTCATTAGATTTACAGCCCATGAGAAGATCAAGGATGACTTCTTCATTTAAAGATTCTGAACTTAATCACTTGTCTTCAAAGACTTTTTTCCCAGACAGGATCAGCTCCAGAAATTAGGCTGTGGCCATATCTTTTGGTGCCACCATTCATCTGACTCTGTGTCCTTATCCCTTACATTCAATAGGTATGGGGCTCCTGCCCTTCCTTAACTGTATCCCCAGAACCTTTTGCAGACATTGCAGGCATGAGGATGCTGTTCCCCTCATCCTCTTACTCTTAGCGTCCTTCCAGGTCAGCGCGCCATGAGGCCTGGGGCACAGAGCAGGTCCTTAGTCACTGGTGTTTTGTTTTGTTTTGTTTTGTTTTGTTTTGTTAATAACAGCAGCCTCAGAGCAGGCCTTTGTGCTGATAGCTGATAGGCCAGCTCTCAGCCAAGGACAGGCAGAAAATAAGACACAAACTATTATTCACTTCATTGCAGCTTCCATTGGTAAAGGATCCTTTGAGTGTAATTCTTCAAGTTCCTCAGAGAACCCAACACTCTTGGGGTCACCAGTAGTGGAAGGCTTTGTGAAGGACCATGGAATTTGGCTCATCAACTGTGTTTAGCTATTGGGCATGAATGGTATCTAATGTCAAGTGATACTGGGGGAAACAGGACTCTTCATACTGCTGGTAGAGGAACCTATGGGGAAAGGCTTTTCAGATGGCAGTTGGGTGGGGTTTCTTAGCATATAGAATGTTCAGCTTCTTGACTCACCACACTAGTGGTCACTGATCTGCAGACGACAGCTCAGGCACAGCTTTGCCTGGATGTTTGAGCAGGGGAGTTTGTAAAATAAGTCAATAAAATAGCAGTAATTGAAGCAAGAAATAATTTGTGGGAAATGTCCACAGATAATATCTTGAGGACTCACAGGGAGCCTTGGATTTGAGGTGTGGTATAGTGCTTCAAGGGATATTTGTGCATGTTTTATTTTTTTAAGGAAGAAATCAGTTAATACTTGTAGAGTTTTGAAATGTGAAAGATGAGGGAGGAGACAGAAATGGGTGTGGGCTTTGGTGGGTACCATTTGGAGCATCTTGTCAGGCCAGAGAGCAGTGGCCCAGAGAGAGTAGAGGGCTCTTGTGCTCAGGAAAAGCCCTGTGTCGTGGCTGCAGGTGATTTTCATGTTCTAGTATTCTTAGTGTTTAGAAATATTAACATGTGGGGAATCCAAGTTAAGAGCATGAGAGAACTGTGCCCTATTTTTGCAACCTTTATATGACATTTCAAAATAAACATTTTAGAAGTTTTAAAGGAATTATTGATAATCTTTTTGGGTAACATTGTAACATTAGAGTTCCTTTAGAAAATGTTCTCAGTTTTTAGACATGGTGAAGTATTTAGGGGTGAAATATCAGCCTGATACTTGCTTGAAAATGCTTTAGCACGGGCGAAAAAGCTGAAGCAAAATACTAATTGTCATATTTAAGTGATTCAGACAAAGGATGTGTTGTATTTTCTACTTTGACATATGTCTTAAATATTTCACAGTAAAGGATTAAAAGGAAAATAATTACAAATGCCTTCTGTTGTTATTAAAGTAGTTCTCATATTTTTGTTTTAAGTTGTTAAAGATCATCAAGTAAAAAGATGGAGGTGTGAAAATAAAAGGGAACCTCCTTTACGATAAAGGTGGAAAGCCAGCAGGGAGTGCTCTCATGCCCTACCACTCCTAATTGCAGACCCAGAAACCTTATTCCTTGCTACTTTGCTGTCCCAGCAGAAGAAAGAAAGGTTTTCTACTTCTCTGGCAACAGCCCAGTCAGAGACAGTCACAACTCAGCCAATGAAAAGCCACCATACTTTGAACTCCCCAGTTTATTCTAATGAACTTTTTGTTTATCACAGCTCTCCTATCTCTCACTTTATTCTGTAGAAAAGCATTCCTCTCTTGTTTTCTGGACTTGCCTATGGTTTTACCTTATCATGCTTGTCTTGGATTGTAATTCTCTGCTATTCCCAAATCCATTTTTTTGCTGGTAAAACAAATGCCAGTTTTGTTTTTAAAGTTAACAAAGAAGACATGCCAAACCATTAACGGTGGTTGAAAGCCATTGAGTTGGGGCTGAGGGGTGGTGGTGAAGAAGAGGAAAAGAGAATGTTCAGGTAAAAAAAAGAAGTGAAAAGTCAAGCACAATATGAAAAGTACATTTTGGGCATTGATCCAATAAGCTGGCTGCAGTGGAATATCTTGCCCATTATCCTTATTCTTTCCTTAGGGTACATTCCCAGAAGTGGACTTTCTGATCCAAGGAGATGTGCAAGTCTAAGCCTTCTGATATTTACTATCAGAAAGTTTATAGCTGGGGACCGTTTTTATCAGATTGGAATTCCTACTTTGATCCAGTAGCCAGATCTAGGAATGTGCCCAATGTACATAACCATGTACACAGTGGTCCCCATGCAAGGATCTATACCATTGTAATATTGTAGCAGCAAAAGCAGAGAAACAGCCTGAAGGTCCATCATTAGCACTGAAGTTACATAAATTAGGATGCATCTATTGAGTGGAACTGCAGCCACTGAAGAGCACCTCAAGATAAAGTGATAAAAGCATGGTGAAATGCCATATGTGATATGCTACCAGTGTGCAGAAGGAAGGGGAAGGGCCCCGATCTGGTGTATGAACTGTATTATCTATCTCCAGGAGTATAAACATTCAACTGGTCCTTTGCAGGAGGGAACAGTGCAGTGGAGATCCAGGGAGACGGGAGAATTTAGTGCTACTGTGCATAGACATTTCATTTACTTGTTGACCACTTTTGTGAGCTACCTTCTGGATTGGAATGCAAGGGAGGTACTTTGATTTTGTCTGGTTGGCATTAAAGAGTTTAAAGATGTTGCAGATACTGCAATAACGATATTTCTTTAAATTACAAAAAGTAACACACCCTCATGTTTAAAAAACAAGTGCATGCTGGGGATTTACCCCAAAGATACAGATGCAATGAAACGCCGGGCCACCTGCACCCCGATGTTTCTAGCAGCCATGTCCACAATAGCCAAACTGTGGAAGGAGCCTCGGTGTCCATCGAAAGATGAATGGATGAAGAAGATGTGGTCTGTGTACACAATGGAATATTCCTCAGCCAATAGAAACGACAAATACACACCATTTGCTTCGACGTGGTTGGAACTGGAGGGTATTATGCTGAGTGAAGTAAGTCAATCGGAGAAGGACAAACATTATATGATCTCATTCATTTGGGGAATATAAAAAATAGTGAAAGGGAATAAAGGGGAAAGGAGAAAAAATGAGTGGGAAATACCAGAAAGGGAGACAGAACATGAGAGACTCCTAACTTTGGGAATCGAACTAGGGCTGGGGGAAGGGGAGGTGGGCGGGGGATGGGGGTGACTGGGTGATGGGCACTGAGGGGGGCACTTGATGGGATGAGCACTGGGTGTTATTCTATATGTTGGCAAATTGAACACCAATAAAAACTAAATTTATATTTATATAATAAAATAATAATAAATAAAAAAACAAGTGCACAGTGAAAAATAAACCACCTTCCTTCCTGTGCCCCCAACAATCCTGCCCTACTCTCCAGAATCTATGGACTGTTGACTTAAAAAAGGTGGCTCAGTGGTTTAGTGCCGCCTTCAGCCCAGAGGCTGCTTCTCCCTCTGCCTGTGTCTCTGCCTCTCTCTCTCTCTCTCTCTCTCTCTCTGTCTCTCATGAATAAATAAAAAATAAATAAAATCTTAAAAAAAATATATGGCCAGACGTTTTCTCTTCATGGTATTTTTTTAAAGGTGACCCTCTTTTTTTTTTTTTTTAAGATTTTATTTATTAATGAGAGAGAGAGGCAGAGACAGGCAGAGGTAGCAGGCTCCGGGCAGGGAGCCTGACATGGGACTCCATCCTGGGTCTCCAGGATCACGCCCTGGGCTGAAGGCGGCGCTAAACTGCTGAGCCA